TGTCTTTTATTGCATTGATGCCAAAATAATTAATATATAAAAAAAAATTCTGGTTAATATTTATATCGATTGTGTATTATTGACTAATATCTATCTTTCTGATTGGATGACATCAAACAAATGATCGGTGGATATTGTATTCATCAGGTGGCTGAATCATAGTATTGACCTAAAAAAAAAACAATATTTGTATAATACCAGGTATGTTTTATCTTTATATAAAATTTTTCTTTCATGGAAATATTTGGTTTTCTCTTCAGCTTTTTATCATGCTGGCTGTTGGGCCATTATTTACACGCGACGGATTTTTCTGTTATTTCCCGATCATGACAAGGACGTGTGACCGGGCGTCAAGGGATGCTCACTCCTCCATGTCACCTGATCCCACCTCTGATGTTTTGGAGGTCCGTGTTTGCTCTGCTCCTATTTTGTATTGTTTAATAGACTTTTGAGCTCGAATACTGTTTGTTATCTCAATATATTTCATCACATGTTAATGGAATTTTTTATAGTTTTTTTATCAGATTTTGTCAGATCAAACTTTAAATAAAAAGAAGATGGGCGTATTTGGCGAATGATCTGCAGGAATCATTTGTACGAAACATTTATGGTTTAAATGTCCATGATTTGGTTGGCTGAACATAGCTAGTCAGATTGTAACATTTATGTCCGTTTTTCCTAGGGGTACTATAACATAGTAATGTTTCACAAAAAATAAACACCTAAAATATTTAATGCACGGATGCATGATACGTGTACATGTACATTATAGAATAGAAGATTAGAATTGATTTCGCTATAGAAAACCAAACTGATCCAAAATTTATCTAATTCAAAATTTTAATACATCAGTACATAAAACGTAACTGACAAAATAAATGGTTGTTTGCAAGGAAAAAAATTAACGCCCCATGCCAGGCTCGAACCAAAAACTTTTCGCTTCCAGTGCACTGAACAGGTAGCCCAACTTACTGAGCTTTCACCGCTATACATACACAAATGGTTTTAAAAGGACAAAGAAGCACCACATTCACACATTTGGATTTTTGGGGGGAAAGTTCATTTTGTGGTCTCTGGGTCTTCTCTCCATTCTTTAAAAAAGTGTATTCGTTTCTTTGAATTAAAATACACATAAATAACATTTCAAAATCATGGAGAGAAGACCCAGACATAGAAAATTTTTATAAAAACGTGTTTAAAAATGCACCATTTTGTACCAAATGTCTTATCTGGCCAACTTTCAAGTTATTTTTTAGCAAATCAAAGCTCAATTTCGGGAAAATATTTTCCTTTCCTGTTGCACAAGAACCCGATAGATAAAGAGAATGTTAAAATTTCATGTGACATGTTGATAGAATTTTCACTTTTCAATTACGCCCAGATTCCTGCCGAAAGCCAATCAAAAGCGCCCTCATTCTTTGACATTTTTCCAATATCTGTAATTTTCTTTATCTAAGTTTAAAGAAATCCCCATATTGATACAATAATAGGTATACATGTAACAAACATTTATTTCTTTAGATCAGAAAAAAGTTTGACAAATAAACCATTGTTTGTTTACATTATTAAATACTATTGTTTTGACGAGACATTACAAGATGGAAAATAGAGTAACTTGATAGAAATTTTAATTAGGATAAAATTAAAGTACAATACATGTATATAAACAAATTACGCCCTTGAAACGTTGCTTTTTCGCTTTAACAAGGACATTTCTATAAGTATGATTGTCAATGCAATTATAAAAATCAACATTTCTTCCGCCAAAATTCCGTGGGTGGTCTTTCTGAAGACAGTCTAGACAAAACGTCCGTACTTAAAATTGTATGATATAGCCTTCTAGTTGACTTTTTTATTTATTGAATTTTCAAATGGAAAAATATCTGACTGAACAAATACATATATGATGGGCGTTATTTTAAAAAAAAATGATTTAAAGTGACCACATTTTTGAAAACGCCTTTTATTAGAAATTATAATTCTGTGTACTTTTTAAAAAAAATCGTCGTTAATTTAAATCGAAAGTGTATACACTCGAATAAAAAAAAATGTACATTTATATATTTCTTTTAAAGATAAAGTTTTTGAAATATTGCCATAAAATTGTTTTGAGCATTTACTTTTTCAGAAACAATGACTTATTAAAATTTTAATTTGTACAAGAAAACTGTCATTAATTAAATTCGATTAAATGTCGTTGAATAAAATTTAATTTTAAGTTTTTTTAATTTTTAAACTATCATATTGTTTTTTATTTATTTTCAATCTAAAGTTGAAAATAATTACATGACACTTTTTAAACTTAAGACTGAAAATTAATAAAGGACAATTTCATTCACTTTACACATGAAAACTGATTTTCAGCACTTCTTGTAATTTAAGTTGGTAAAACTTGGCTTACCAAAAATCTAAACAAAAACTTCATGTATTCAAAGAAGAAATCTCTCCTATTTCTTTGAGGATACGAGACATGGAGGAGAGAGGGGGTGGAAATATATCAAAAATATGCAAGACCAGTCTCATAATTGGATTTTGTATGCATGGTCCGAGGAACCAAGCCCCCCCCCCCCCCTCCTGTCCTAAATTTATTTTCCCTGATAGATTACATGTAACGTACTTTATAAAACATATCTCTTTTATATAGCTTTCTGGTAACCTTAGATTTTTTGCTAAAAAAATTACCGTGTACCATCCCAACTAAAAATGTTTAGTTATGCCTCCACCTGAATTTATTTCCTATGGACCTTGGGTCAGATCAACAGAGCGAGCGCTCGCGAACATTTCTGTTGGAGGTACATGTATAAGGAATTTTGGCGAGCGCTCGCGAACGTTCGCTCTGTTGAACAGGTCTCTTGTATTAGTTTATAAATATTTGTGATATAATGTTTCATATTTTTTAGCCTAGCAACATTAATATACCAAGAGGCCAAAAAGACAGACTTCCATTTGAATTCATGATCCCTATGTACTGAGCAGACAGATTTTTTTATGTTAAATCTGCACTTTAAGAAAACATGTTTTGAAAAACAGAACCATGTGTGAAAATGTCATAAAACATGTTAAAAAGTCATTAATGACACGAACCCTTGGACTCATCGATGCTGAAATGGCTATGTTGTTATGACAGTTGTTGACAAGGTCATGTACAACACATGGAGAACAGAGAAATTTAATTCAATAGATTTATTTATCAGAAGGACAAAAATGTGTCTTAAAACGAGTGTTCAAAGAATTTGACACCATGAATGTCATTTCAGAGAAATGTCAGAATATCAGGGAATCTCAAGTCAAAAACGTTCATGGATTTTGTTTTCTTTGTTTCTCTATAGTGGGTAGAATTAATTAAGTTGGCTTTTGAAGTGACATGCAGTGAAATATGCACGACATCGCGATTCAAGTTAAAACATTGAGAGAGAAAAAAAAAAACATATACATATAAATAAGAATAGTTATGCTATTGCATGTGCACTTTTAATATAACCTTTCAAGAGGAGGGCATTAATTTTTTGCTTAACTATGAGATCAATCAAATTCAAGAAAATGGGAAACACTCTAAGTTACATGTATATACATCTTTAAAAAAGTGAATCTTTTGTTTGTGAATGATGAGAGTTTTCTGAATAAACAATCAAGTTCAGAGAGTCTGTGCTCCCTGCTTAATGAAAAAAGAACAAACTTGAATCTACACACCTGAGGATGATTCCATCTGAGTTTCATCTTTCCTTGTCCAGTGGTTCTTTAGAAAAAGATTTTTAAAGATTTTCCTATGTATTTCAATTATGTAAACCTTTGATCGTCCACTGTGGCCCCACTCTATCCCCAGGGTCCTGATTCGAACAAATTGAATCTACACTACTGAGGATGATATCACATGAGTTTCATCTCTGATGGTCCAGCAGTTCTTGAGAAGAAGAATTTTAAAAGATCAATTGATTTTTCACTAATTCATTATTATCTAGGCATGTAGCAACCTGGGGGGGGGGGGGGGGGCTGCCCCTTCCCACTTTTTTTTTTCAAACATAACTTTTACTTTTGAAATGTTCATTGAAAGGCTGGTCTACACCCCACCCCCCACTTTTGGCTTTTGGCTAAAGGAAAGTGTTATAAGGGTAATGTAGTAATTGTGTATGAAGAAAATTTGATACTGAAAGAAGTTGTGTTGGAGAAAAGGTTGCCTATACCCCCCCCCCCCCCCCCCCCCCACACACACACACACAAAATAGGATTTTCTAGTTTGGCCAATGAAATTTTCCTCCTTTTTTGCTTGTCAACTTATTTCAGATAAGTCAATTTTTTTCTTGCTGGCCCCTTCCCCTACTTTCAAAAACGATGCTACGTATACGTCACTGAGAAGAGAGCGTACGTGAGCCTTTTTTTTGAATAATGATTGTTTTTTATGTAGCGGTTTTCTAGCATAAATGCTACTCAAAGCGGTTTACAATACATTATTACCCCAGCAGACCATAACAATCCAGAATCTTTCTCAGTGCCATTGCACGCTGCCGTTAAGGCGCTGGAAGACTAGACCATTCTGACAATATCTTTTACACTTGTGTGGAGTGAGTTTTTTTTTTTTTTTTAATCCAGAAGCTCTTATCGCCTGCTTATCTTTGAAACAAAATATTCACACATTTCTGTCAAACTTTGATTGCCAAAATAGATATCAAGGTTGAGGAGGAATGCTACAACTTGACAAAGAAGTTTTAATGAAAGTGAATTTTTATTTTGCTGCATTCTTCAAAGTACGGTAACTAATTTATTATAATATTTAAACAACGCAACCGATTTTTTCCTTCGAGAATCATAATTAATCGTTGTTTTTATTTTGTATGATTTATTTATCGAAGACAATTTGAAAGCGAATTTGATTCTTTTATTTCTCGAGCCCGTCGCTGATTATCCCGGAAAATTATTGTCCAGTCAATCATGGTTTTTAATTTACATATTCACATGCAAGATCAAAACAACGCTTTATTAAATCATCGCTGAAACAAAACTATCAAGTTCTATTCATACTTTGACCAAATTGCAGCATGTGAAAATTCAGAAGAAATTTATCACTATTTTCTCTTTTTAAAAAATTTCAACGAAGAAAAAATGTGTTCCAGAGAAATAGTTACATTACAGTTAGGTCATTATTCAAACTTTGTTGGCACACATTGGTGGAATATACAGGTAAATGAAGAAAATCAATGATTGATACAGTTTTGTTTATTTACCTAAAATAATCGAAAACTAAATCAGGACTGGACCTTTACGCCCCCCTCCATGATATGATACGTATTGTGTCACAATTCAATTTGTTTTCGATATAATTCATTCTAATAAGAAAACAAATCATAAGGTTCAGATTGTTCCTCTCAATACTAGCAGCGAACAGGTCCAGGAAAATCACTATATTTAGCTATATAGGTAAATCTACCTATATAGCTTTAATTACCTATAAAATTTAGCTATATTTAGCTATTTTGGAATAATTTTCTGTTTATGAAAAGCAGAAAAAAAGTCGCATAATGAGGCAGTATTAGTTTTCAACTTTGAAATGGACTGAAAACAATTCACCAAAAACACACTTATAAAAATGTTTCTCCTTTTGTGCAATTGCAATCAAAGATCTAAAAGTTTTGGGGCTATCTATAACAGTTAATCTGTGAGTAAGCAGCTACTTTAACAAAGGAAAGCAGTTTTGGTCAACAAGATAATTGATTGGTAATAATTGAGCACAATGCAAGGCAATCACACTTAGTCATGCCTCACCGCACTTCCAGCTATCCAAACAATAGAGATGCTTTTTTTGGTTAAAAAGTGTTTATAAGAGGCAATGTTTTTACTATCTATGCCCTAGGTTGTTTTTATCAATCCTTTTAGAAAATATTTCAGTTATAATTTACATGCGACTTTTTGTCTGCTTTTCATAAAACAGAATCTTATTCCAAAATAGCTAAATATAGCTATATTTTATAGGTAAATAAAGCTATATAGGTAAATTTACCTATATAGCTAAATATAGTGATTTTCCTGGACCTGGCGAAAGCCTGTTCTGAAACTTTCTTTGTCTCCATGTTCTCCCTTAACATGCTGAAGTGTGTCAAACATCCAAATGAGGTCGAACCCACTAACATCAAACTGACGTTGAACAAAATCTATGAATTTGAACCCCATTGTAAAAAAAATAAAACATATAGAACAGAAAATCAAGAGAGTAAATTGATGAATCAAAAAATTATATTGAAAGTATTGATATTTCTGTGAATCTTTTCAGCCGTACAGGCAAAATAGAGACAATAATGAACCCAGATGAATGATGAAATTTGTAATACCTTTTCCCTTCATACATCCAGAATAAAACTTAAGAGTGGTTTGCTCCTATATTTTTAAAGGATTAGGAAGCTCACTTGTACCTATAGAAGAGTACAAACTGTACAATAACGTAAATGTTTACATTATTTTTATCCCCCCCCCTCCAATTAAAAATGCAGAGGGCATATAGTGTTACCCTGTTCCATCTTTCTGTCATCACTGACCTTCTATAATCCCAGGAACAGTTAATTGCACTCATTCAACTCATTTTTGACATATGCCCCATGGATAATTAAGTCATAGGAATACACCCAGGTCAATAAAATTCTCTAAAATTGTCTTATATATTAAATCACAGGAATCTAAAGTTTTTATTGTCCAACAAAAAAAAATCTGGAAAAAAAATTTAAGTTTAGGATGGAAAAATTTGTTTTCCAGATTTTTGTTTTTGACGATAAAAGCTTCAGGCTCCTGTGATATAATCAATAATCATGCATAAAATACTTGCTATGCACTGGACATTCTAAATGTTATACTGTATCAAACAGATGTACTGTTAAATTTTTGTCATCTTGAACTCAATGGTTCTGAGAAAAAACTTAGAGATTTCCAATGATTTGAGATACTGGGGGTAAAATATTAAAAGTCGTCATCTTGAACTCAATGGTACTGAGAAAAAACTTAGAGATATCCAATGATTTGAGATACTGGGGGTAAAATATTAAAAGTATAAGCGGTGGGGACCTCCAAATCACTTCGACACATCAGATTCCTTAATGTTTGAGATATCAGTGTTCAAGATACCAAAGTTCAACTGTTGCTCTAAATGAGGCAGAAAATATTAAAAAAGAACAACGGAAGGAAAAGAAAATTGAAGAGAAATTCAATGATTCAGAAGTGAATGTGTTGTTGGAAGAGAATGCCAATACAAGTGTTAAATGTCTAATTCCAACTGCCAATAGATATGAAGCCCTCTCACCTGATGTTGAAGAATCAGATGCAATGCACCAAACAAGGTCAGATTTACCATCTGAAACACCATTAAACAAACAAGATCTGCCCATCGAAATCATCATGGACTCCCATGGAAAATGGTTAGACCCAAAATGGATGTACAAGAACAAAGATTTAAGGATAACGGTACTAGGCGCAGGGAAAAAGAACATTAAGGGAGCAATGGAACACATTCAGCATATAACATCTCCCAAACACTTAGTCATAGGAGTTGGATGTAATGACCTGTCGAATGAAAACCCAGAAGAAGTCTCACGCAAATTTAAAGAAATGATCATGAAAAATCCAAAAAATTGTGTCTTTCACATTTTACCCATATTTGAAAGATGCGGAGACAGTCCATACAACCAAAAAGTTGCAGAGACCAACAGGAAACTAAGGGAACTATGCGAGGAAAATGGTGTAAACTTCATCAAAATGAACAAAATATCACCGGAAAACCCTCAAAACTACACAAGGGATGGAGTGCATTTTAGTAATGTAGGAAGAAAAAATCTGGTCGTCATGATAAAACATCACCTTAATCCACATTTGGGTATGAAGCCATACAGCCAATACCAAAGGCCTGAATCGCAAAATAATCTGTACCACAAAGGAGAACATCACCAAAATAGTCAAAGTCATTATCAACAGAGAAAACAACATCACCACAGTAACCCATGGCAAGCGAACCAAGAATGGCAACAGTACCAATACACTAAAGAACGATTCCACCAAAATAATCATCAACTACAAAAAAAACCGCGGAGCCAAAACGTTGAAGAACAAACATCGAAGGAATCTCAGATGAAAGAGCTTCTTGAACAGTTGCTAAAAATCTTATAGATACATGAAAGATCAGTATGATACATTAACCAGTCATCCAATCTAGTCACAATCTATGCCATAATACTCCTTTATTACATGTATATTATTATTATTTTTTCTTTTACTCAGGTTGTGTGTTGTTAAATTGAAGTAGAATAGACGACTACTTAAGTATATTCTTGGTTGTGTTAAAATAGTTGTTGTAAATATGATACATGTACACGTATCTGCCATTTCTATATTTTTTTTTTTTTTTTTATGTCACTGTCAGAATGTTAGATTGATTTTTCTTAATAATTTTGAAATGACATCACTAAATATTGTGTACTGGAATGTGCATGGCCTCAGTGATGAAAAGTTAAATGATGATCTTTTACAAAACTTGTGTACAAAATATGATATTGTTTGTTTAGCTGAAACAATGCTTAAGGATTCAACAAGAAATTTTCCAGGATTTTCTCCACCATTTGTTTTGAACTCAAAAAAGATAAAGAAAAGGGGTAGACCATCAGGTGGATTACATATATATATATAAAACCTACAATATACAAACACTTTAAAAAAAGTATTTCAAAGTGAAAATAGCATTTGGCTGGAAACTAACATTCAAAACACAAATTCACAACAGAATAGTGATTCATATTATTTTTGTTTCTGTTATATAAAACCATATATAAATAAAGCTAAATCTGAAGAAGTATTTTCTAATTTAGAAAATGAAATTGCAAATTACAGAAGTAAAGGAGAGATTTTTATTTGTGGAGACTTTAATGCTCGCACTGGGGGGCTTCAAGACTTTATACAACATGACACACTAAATGATACATTTTTGGATTGCCCTCTGCCAGAAAACATATATGAGCCTGACATTTCAGTGAACAGAAACCAACTCGATAAGACATCAAATTTACATGGACATCTACTCACTGATATTTGCAAAACATATAGATTATCTATCCTGAACGGAAGATTTCTTGGTGACTCACTTGGCTATTTCACATTTTTTAATTCTAATGGTTCAAGCACTGTTGACTATATGTTGGCATCAAGTCAGTTGTACCATAAGATCGAACATTTCAATGTATTACCTCCAACAGAAATATCAGATCATTGTCTTATAACTGCAAGTGTACATATGAACATGGACCTGTTTTGTAAGGAAAAATATAAAATACACTCTTTAAAGGGGAAATACCTCTGGTCAAGCACTTGTAAAAACCAATATGTAGAAGCTATTAATGAGGAAGAAACAAAAAATCAAATACTTATGTTGAATAATTTACTAGATGAAATATATGATGATAACACATATGATTCAAATGATCTTGTCGATAAACTGTCAAATATTATAATTAATGCAGCAAATAAAAGTGTTCCATTTAAACCTGCAAAATTTACAAAATCAATTAGAAAAAATAAACAAAAACCAAAATGGATGAACACAGATTATCTACTTTTACGAAAAGAAGTTAGAAATTTAGGAAAGAAAGTACACAAATATCCAAACAACTGTGAACTAAAACATGCCTTCGCAAACTGTAGAAAAAATTATAATAAATTAAGGAAAAATCTTAAATCAACTTTTTACAATAGTATAGCAGAAGAAATAAACTCGCTTTCACCACAAAACTCTAATAAATTTTGGAATAAGATAAAAGAAAATAAATCAAAGAAAACTAATGCAGAAGCAATTGGAATTTCAGAATTCGTTGATCATTACAAATCTCTACTGAACATACAATATGCTGATGAAGAAAGTTCAAAATACAAATTTACTGAACTAAATACTGAACCAAGTCCATTAGACTTTTTGTTTACTCAAGATGAAATAAAACTAAGCATTTTAAAGCTGAAAAATGGCAAAAGTGCTGGGCCTGACTTAATCTTAAATGAATTTATTAAAACAAACAATAATTCTCTTTTACCAGTTCTTACAAAACTGTTCAATATTTTACTTAAAAATGGAAAAATGCCCAACGAATGGAACCTATCACTTATTACCTCATTATACAAAAATGGTGACCCTAATAATGCAAACAATTATAGAGGTCTCAGTGTTACAAGTTGTTTAGGAAAACTTTTTACAGGCCTTCTACAGAAACGCTTAGATAATTATCTTGAGTCAAATAACCTACTAAGCCAATATCAATCTGGATTTAGAAAAGGACATAGGACCACAGACAATATATTTGTATTAAAAACACTTGTAAACAAATATCTTTATGCAAAGAAACAGAATTTATATGTGTGTTTTGTAGATTTTTCAAAAGCATTTGATACTGTATGGAGATCCGCACTTTTATTCAAATTAAATAAAAAGGGTATTGGTGGTAACTTTCTCAAACTTTTAACAGACATGTATTCAAACACATACTATTCTTGTAAAAAAGACAATCAAATGAGCGAGAAATTTAAAGCAAATAGAGGAGTCAAGCAAGGTGATAATTTAAGTCCAACACTTTTCAATATTTTTGTTGATGATTTTGTGAATTATTTCAAGAATGTAAGTACATATCCTGCTTATCTAGATACTATGCCAATTAATCATATGTTTTTTGCTGATGATCTTGTCCTTGTATCAGAATCAGAAGTTGGTCTACAAAATTGTATAGATATTTTAGGAAAATATTGTTCAGACTGGAAATTGTGTGTTAATATGGAAAAAACAGATGTTATGATTTTTTCAAAAAAATCTGTTGATGAAGCATCATTTAGATTTTATTATAATCACAAAATGATTAACATAACAAATGAATATAAATATTTGGGTGTTGTGTTTAGATCTGATGGGAAAATGAAATTTGCTGCTGAACAGCTATCAGAACGTGCTAGAAAAGCATATTACGCTATTAAATCAAATTTTCCTGCAAATGTTAATTTTTCTGCTGAAATTATGTTGAAATTAATTATCAGTCAATGATAATACCAATTATAACATATGGATCTGAAATATGGATAACTGACTTTAAATGTGATTTAATGTCTTCAGACCAGTTTCCTTTTGAAAAAACACAGCACTTGATATTTAAAGACATACTAGGGGTACATAGAAAGGCATCAAATCTAGCTGTTTTATGTGAGTTGGGTTGTTTTCCTTTGTACTATTTGTGTTATGAATATATGTTAAAATATTATATGAGACTGAAGGAAATGGAATGCAAACATGATTATAACAATTATTTAGTGGTATCTGCATTTAAGGAAGACAAAAATCTTGTATCTAAAATATCTTGGCAAAAGAAACTGTCTTCATTACTACAAAAATTAAATATTAGTTCTTTGGAAATATCTCACATAACTTTGAAAAACAAATTACAAGAACATTACCAAAACAAGATATATGAACAACTGAAAAAAGTTAACAAATCAGACTCTGGAAAGTTAGCATTTTATAGCAAAATTGTGAATCAAGATGAATACAAACTGCAAAGTTATTTAAAACTACCCCTGAAGAAAAGTTGTAGATCTCTATTAACAAAATTAAGGATCAGTGCCCACCCACTGTATATTGAAACGGGTAGATACTGTAAACCCCCTATTCCTAGAGAAAAACGTTTATGTTATTCATGTAAATTTTTTGTTGAAGACGAAAAACATTTTGTTCTTTATTGTCCAAAGTATGATCAATATAGATGGAATTACAATGATATATTTAATGTTAACACATATACTAGTGATAACCCCATTAGAAAAATTGTCAATCCTACAAATATTTCAACTGCTAGAAGGATATGTTGTTTCTTGAAAAAGTGCTTTGACATCAGAAAAGAAAGTCAAAAATGAATATTAATATTGAGAAATACACAATTTTGTTCACCTCATATTTCTCACTTTGTATATCATGCTTGTATTAATTGTGTTGATTTATGTTATGTTATTCATGTTCATGACTGTATGCCGACATGGTAATTGTCAATAAAGTGAATTGAATTGAATTGAAATGTGGTTTATGTCTGTCACATGCTTTATAAAATGATCTGTTAATATGTAGAAAAATTACTTATTGTGAAAGTACACAATCAAAAATTAAAAAAAAATACTAGTTTGATTTTTGATTCTCATTATTTACTACTTAAGTTCATCCATTTGAGCTCAAGTTTCGCTCTCTATATATGTTAGCATGCATTTCAGAGTTAGTATGTTCAAAACAGTGCGAAAGCCTCTGAAATATTTTTAATGCTAAGATAAGCTTTTACCATGTTTACAGTAAATCTGTATATAAATGTCCTTAATTAGTATGTGTTATAAGATTTGCTAATTTTATTTTATTTTTATGCAGGATTCTTCTTTCTTGTACAATCCAACAGAAGCACAACAGAAGGAGAAAGAAGTGGACCATGATATTTTATGGAGAGAAGGAAGAACCCTCAAAGTACAGTTTTGTCTTCATGTCACACAGTCAAACTCAGGGGTGTCTAGAGACCCGGCCGGCGTCGGCAAATTTCCCAACCTGTATAATATGCAGATTTTTTTTATATTCCACCTAAACACCCATTTAGGAAGTGAACCCCTGATCCCCTTCTATACTTTCCAAATGTCTCCTTGACAATTTCAGTTTTTAAGGACAGCCCTGTTTCAAACATCATTATCACTAATGATAAGATAAAAGTTTGAAATATCCAAGGATTTGAAATGTTGGTGTTTACAGAGAAAGTGGTTGGTTGGGACTTCCAATTAACTCACTTCAATTTATCCATGGTTTTTGAGAGATACAGATTTTCAATATACCATACATGTAGTTCACCAAGATTTATTTATGATAGACTTTCCACACCAGCAACATTAAATGTGGCTTAATTTAGGGGTGAAGTCAGAAAATTATGCCTCAATTTAAAGTAAATTTAAGTCTCTTTGAAAGAATATATACCATACATGTATAAGAATCCTAAATATGCTCTGAATCTGTTCCTTTGTAATGTTCATGCAACTTCATGGTGTGTACTTTTATTATTTAGGGCAGAGAGATTTAATACATTTAAAATTATTTATTTTCTATAGTAAACACAAGCCCCAATCTTTTGTACACCACACAGTGGCGCAGACATTTTACTTTTTAGCTCACCTGAGCCAAAGGCTCAAGTGAGCTTTTCTGATCACAATCTGTCCGTTGTCTGTCGTCGTCGTCGTTGTTGTCGTCGTTGTCGTTGTAAACTTTTCACATTTTCATCTTCTTCTCAAGAACCACTGGGCCATTTTCAACCAAACTTAGCACAAAGTATCCTTGGGTAAAGGGGATTCAAGTTTGTTCAAATAAAGGGCCACGCCCTTTTCCAAGGGGAGATAATCATGAATTTGTTAAAAATTAATGGCATTTTTTAAAAAATCTTCTTCTCCAGAACCGCTGGGCCAGGAAAGATGAAACTCATGTGGAAGCATCCTCAGGTAGTGTAGGTTCAAGTTTGTTCAAATCATGACCCCCGGGGCAAGGGTGGGGCCAAAATGGCCGACCCAAGTTTTGCATAGGAATATATAGGAAATATCTTTAAGAATCTTCTTCTCAAGAACCACTGGGCCAGGAAAGATGAAACTCATGTGGAATCATCCTGAGGTAGTGTAGATTCAAGTTTGTTCAAATCATGACCCCCGGGGCAAGGATGGGGCCAAAATGGCCGACCCAAGTTTAACATAGGAATATATAGGAAAAATCTTTAAAAAATCTTCTTCTCAAGAACCACTGGGCCAGGAAAGATGAAACTCATGTGGAATCATCCTCAGGTAGTGTAGGTTCAAGTTTGTTCAAATGATGACCCCCGGGGCAAGGGTGGGGCCAAAATGGCCGACCCTAGTTTTACATAGGAATATATAGGAAAAATCTTTAAAAATCTTCTTCTCAAGAACCACTGGGCCAGGAAAGATGAAACTCATGTGGAATCATCCTCAGGTAGTGTAGATTCAAGTTTCTTCAAATCATGACCCACGGGGCAAGGATGGGGCCAAAATGGCCGACCCAAGTTTTACATAGGAATATATAAGAAAAATCTTTAAAAATCTTCTTCTCAAGAATCACTAGAACAGGAAAGATGAAAATCATGTGGAATCATCCTGAGGTAGTTTTAATTAGCTCACCTCAACGAAGTTGGGGGAGCTTATGTAATACCCTCGGCGTCGGCGTCGGTGTCGGCGTCGGTGTCGGCGTCGGCGTCGGCGTCCCGGGTTAAGGTTAAGTTTTTTGGAGCAGTTTTCTTTTTAAGTACTTCTATGTCCTATATTGATTAGACATGCATGGAAGATGGTTCTAGTGTGTTTCATTGTACCAGTCAAAGTTTCAGATGCTGCAATTTTAGCAAAGGAATGACCAGGTTAATGTTTTTGGAGCAGGTTAACATTTTTGGTGCAGTTTTTGGTGTAGGTTTCATTTCCAAGTAGCTATAAGCCCTATGTTAACCAAACTTGCATGGATGATACATCTAAGGATGCATACTACCCGGCTTGCTTCGGATGCTGAATCTGACCTACTTTTTCAGGTTGAGTGAACAGGTTAAAGTTTTTTGGTGCAGGTTTCATTTCCAAGTATCTGTAAGTCCTATGTTGACCAAACTTGCATGGATGATACATCTAAGGATGGATACAACCAGGCTTGCTTCGGATGCTGAATCTGACCTACATTTTCCGGTTGAGTGAACAGGTTAAAGTTTTTGGTGCAGGTTTCATTTCCAAGTATCTGTAAGTCCTATGTTGACCAAACTTGCATGGATGATACATCTAAGGATGGATACTACCAGGCTTGCTTCGGATGCTGAATCTGACCTACATTTTCCGGTTGAGTGAACAGGTTAAAGTTTTTGGTGCAGGTTTCATTTCCAAGTAACTATAAGCCCTATGTTGACCAAACTTGCATGGATGATACATCTAAGGATGCATACTACCATGCTTGCTTCAGATGCTGAATCTGACCTACATTTTCCGGTTGAGTGAACAGGTTAAAGTTTTTGGTGCAGGTTTCATTTCCAAGTAACTATAAGCCCTATGTTGACCAAACTTGCATGGATGATACATCTAAGGATGGATACTACCGGGCTTGCTTCAGATGCTGAATCTGACCTACATTTTCCAGTTGAGTGAACAGGTTAAAGTGTTTGGAGCAGGTTTCATTTGCAAGTAACTTTAAGCCCTATGTTGACCAAACTTGCATGGATGATAATTCTAAGGATGCACACTACCGGGCTTGCTTCGGATGCTGAATCTGACCTACATTTTCCAGTTGAGTGAACAAGTAAAAGTTTTTGGTGCAGGTTTCATTTCCAAGTAACTATGAGTTCTTTAATGACCAATCTTGCATGGATGATACATCTTAGGATGCATACTACCAGGCTTGCTTCGGATGCTGAATCTGACCTACATTTTGTGGATGAGTGAAAATGTTAATTTTTGATGTATGTTTCATTTCCAATTAACTATATCTTAGGATGCACACTAATGGACTTGCTTCGGAGGCTGAATTCGACATATATATTTTTCAGATAATAGACCAGGTTAAAGTTATGGTTGCAGGTCTATTACCAAAAAACTTTAAGGCTTTTATAACATTGTATAAACCAAACTTGCACAAATGTTGCATCAAGAGATGAAAACTCAAATTTGCTTTAGATGCTGAATTACATTTTCATGAAGAACTACTTTAAATTTTTTATGTTGGTCTACTTCAAAGTATCAGATCAAAATTGCTTAGATATTTTCATTTTTGGAATGTACATTTTTTGTTGGTTAATTGTGTGACTTTGCCTTATTTAAAGACAACATTCGTTGAGGTGAGCTCTGTAATCTCTGATTACCTATGTTTCAAGTTTGTTCAAATCATGAGCCCCGGGGCTAGGGCGGGGCCAAAATGGCCAACCCAAGTTTTACATAGGAATATATAGGAAAAATCTTAAAAAATCTTCTCAAGAACCACTGGGTTAGGAAAGGTGAAACTCATGTGGAATCATTCTCAGGTAGTGTAGACTCAAGTTTGTTCAAATCTTGACCCCCAGGCTAGGGTGGGGCCACAATGGCCGACCAAAGTTTTACAAAGGAATATATAGGAAAAATCTTTAAAAATCTTCTCAAGAACCACTTGGCCAGGAAAGATAAAACTCATGTGGAATCATCCTGAGGTAGTGTAGATTCAATTTGTTCAAATCATGAGCCGCAGGGCTTGGGCGGGGCCGAAATGGCCGACCCAAGTTTTACATAGGAAGATATAGGAAAAATCTTTAAAAATCTTCTTCTCAAGAACCATTGAGACAGGAAAGATAAAACTCATGTGAAATTATCTTCAGGTAGTGTAGATTCAGGTTTGTTCAAATCATGAGCCGCAGGGCTTGGGCGGGGCCGAAATGGCCGACCCAAGTTTTACATAGGAAGATATAGGAAAAATCTTTGAAAATCTTCTTCTCAAGAACCATTGAGACAGGAAAGATAAAACTCATGTGAAATTATCCTCAGGTAGTGTAGATTCAGATTTGTTCAAATCATGACTCCTGGGGCTAGGGTGGGGCCAAAATGGCCGACCCAAGTTTTACATAGGGATATATTGGGAAACCAATATATTTAAAATCTTCTTTTCAAGTACTTCAAAGCCATGATTAGTGATATTTATATGGAATCATCCTAAGGTAGTGTAGATTCTAGTTCAAATCAAGATTCCCTGGGGGGTTAAAATTTAAGCCCCCCCCCTCCCCCACCATCACCTCAGTAAACTTTCAGTTCTGATCTGATATGTGCTTTTTCCTAGCCGATGTGCTCAGGTGAGCGCTGTGGCCCCTGGGCCTCTTGTTATTGATGTGTAGATGTATTTAAATCACACACATACATGTATATTTCATTGTATGAAATTAATCAACTTCAAGATAAAGAATGGTTTTTACTTCTTTCACTCTGTATGGACATATACAATTTATTTTTGATATTGTGCACATATAATTCTTAAAAAAAAAAAAAAACTAGATATTGTACTTATATTTAACTTACAAGGATAATTTGGCTAATGAAGTGATTGACGTGTTGTAGGGGGAAATAACATTTACCCCACGACTGATAGCAGTGGATCTGAAAGGGAGTCTGAATACCTTAAAACAAGAAGGGGTCCTGTATGAAACAAATCAGCAGGAAGATATCAAATGGTAAGATTGTTAGGATATACTAAATCTACTTTATACAGGTTTTTTTGCTCAATTTAATTTTCATTTTTCACACTTGCAAACAATTTTGCCCCATTTTAAATTCACCAAGTCACAGTTTAGTTTAACAATGTATAAATGTGTATTCTCTCAATTTGCCCTGTTTTAAATTCACACACCTAAGGGCGAAACGATTACACGTGTAAATGGCGACGTTTCGATTATATGCTCTAAACGTTTACAGATTGAGTAAACGATTACACAAAGGTCATTATCAATGTCTATCAGAAATAAAGTTTAACACAAACAAATTGTTTTATTTCATAATTTACAAAAGAAACACCGTCTTTGACCATTTGATAAGCAACAATCTAAACAGGAAACATATTGAATGAAAATAGCTAAAACCCGATACGTGCTAACATAACTAATTCCGATTTACGAGTTGCTAATACTAGCGATGTTTTACGACACTTGAAATATAAAACTTGATATATTTTGATTAAATAAATATATAACATTTTTCACAAGTCTTTGAAAAGTTTCAATACAGTCAGCAGATCCTGTTTTACTTTTTTCGAGATTAAAAGATCCATCTTTACAATTATTTTTTCTACGTCCGGTAGCCAAACAAACCAAGCAGTTGGGTGACTAGGTCGAAAGTGAATGAGTTTAATGCGCCTCAAATTCTTACGGTTAAGTCATAATGACCAACAATAAATTTTTAATAACAACTCATACTTATATCAAAGTGAAAGAATTGACTATTAAATTCTAGTTTCATGAGTAAGTAGCCATAAAAATCCAGTATAGAATATCTCCCGTTTAAACGGTACCGTTTCGTTTACTGCTATCCGTTTAAACGTTTACAAAATTTAGTAAACGTTTCACCCTTACACACACCTATGAATAGTGCAAAAAGGGGAGAAAATAAAATGGGGGCGAAAATTTTCCCTGTATACCGTAAGTATATTTTACTGTGGGGTAAATGTCTTGATTTTTATGTATTAATGTATTGATTAAAATGTATTGATTTTAAACTTCAAGCATTAAAAATCATGAAAATAGTGTTTTACATTTTTTTTTTTACTTTTAATATTGTATAAACATTTTATTGGATTCATTGGCAGGAGTGGTGATATCACACTTCATAAGTCAACCCCAGCAGAAAAGAATGCTTATTTAACAGAACTGGAAAAAGAGGTACACATGTTTATCTATGTTAATTTAATGTTTAGTGTCCATGGCATTTTTCGCTATTTTTAGAAAGATACTGTATGTGTATTTTCAAAAGTGGACTTTTAGCAGTATTGGCATGAACAACAATGTGCAAATTTATGAATCTGCTAAGAATTCATTTATGAATACAATACATGGTGTGGATGTATGTAGTGCTAATTCATGATTATGCAAACAACTCCATACCAGTGATTGTGCTAAGTTTTGAATGTGTCAATTTATGTACATGTACAGTATATCATGTATCTCATGACATTCAGATAAGGAAATTTATTGTCATTTCTTGAAATATAGGTATTCAATGGTATAGTTTTTACTAAATAAAACATTCATTTAAAAATTGTATAATTATAATGAATACTTTACATGATTTCTCATTAGCTGAAGCCAATTTATATTCAATTTTAATTTGTTTTCTACTATTGCTGCTTTTTGTTAAGTTCATAAATTTGACAAGAACTGATCATTACTTTATACAGGGTTATATTTTCACCTGTGTTATTTTTCGCCCTTTTACACATGCAACCAATTTTGCCCTGTTTTAAATTCTCCATGGCACAATTCGGTTTACGAAATTATACCATGATTCTTTAAATTTCTCCATTTTAAATTGACCCAATTAGCATGAATACATATTTAGGGCTATAAAAATTTCCCTTTATACAAAACATGTAATTCCTTATGCATATTTGGAATTTTTGGTGAAGACTTCCTTGAATTTTTTTTCAGGACCAAGCATTATTAGAAGACAAAGGAAAACTGCCAGGCACTTCAGACATAATATATGACGATGTAGAAATGAAAGATTCCTCTTCTAGTACAACAAAAGGTCTCAAGATCTAGCTTTTAGACTTGATGATAGAAAGAAAAGTTATCAATATCATTTTTATAATCAATGAAGACTATTTAGGACAATAAAAGAACAGTTGCATGTTCATGTTTGTTCATGCATAAAAATGCAATTACATATATGGATAAATTTACTGCATTCCAAAGAACATCTTTGCTGCACAATTCTTTAAAAACTAATTGTTTTATTTCAACTAGAAAGTTTAACGTAAATAAAATGATTTTTTTGTGTCTGACAGTTTTGATGCCTGCATCTTTTTTAAAAAAAAAAACATAAAGATTTATTTGGCAATGCATACCAGAAATATCCACAAGTTTTGTACCGACTTAAACTTGGAAAATTAATCGTTGTGAAGAATTTATTTGCTTCGTATTTGTAGAGAATATTTCATCAGTTGCTAATATTAATTGTCATGGATTGATTTCAAACTAAAAAAAAGTGACACAAATACATGTAATAATTGGTTTACAGTACATATAGCACAAGAACTAAAAAATTCAGTTTCTTCTTTGTGGATACAGGAGAGAGGACTAGTGATACCCCTGTGGTTTTTGGTAAAGTATTTCACAATCTGGATGATGTGGTGAGAGTTTGGTCGGATTATCTCCGAGTTTATCTTCATCCAAAGACAATCCACATTATAGAACAGTTCAGCCATTTAAAGTTAGTGTCTACAGTCCTTCATTTTGGTTTTGTCTTAATTTAAAATACTTTCAAAAATATATTAAGCTGTAATTTTTTGCTCATCTGAGCCAAAAGCTCAATTGAGCTTTTCTTATCACCTATTGTCCATCGTCCTTCCATCTGTCTGTTTCAAATGTCCATGATTTTGTTTTATCTTAATGTTCCTAAAAAGTATCTGACTTAAATGTTTGTGGTGTACATTGTTGAATTATATTGCACAATTTTTCTGTAACATGATATTGAAACAAGAAGTATATAAATGCTACCTGTTTATGTAAATGTGCTTGACATTTTTAAATTTGGTACAAATACGTACACTGAAACATTCAACATAAACAACTTTTATAACAAAACCATGTACTGGTACATTTTAGTTACGCGCATGCATAGTGGCCTGTACATGTATGTGATAATGCCAATGATATTACTTTGATGGAAAATATGTTGAATTGTTTATCATGTGCTGTCTAACCACGCTCACACAAACCCTGATCTAGCTGAACCTCTTTTGTAGTAGCCTCCATCCGTTTGACGTACACGGAGCTGGACAGAAAGCTTTAGAAGATCACGAGGCCAGAAAGGAATTGGAAGACAGGATTCACTATTTTTGTGAGGAATGTGACAGTTTACAGGTAGAGTTATCTCCCTTCAAATGCTGATTCAAAGAGCACTTTCATACATATACAGTGGACCTTCAGATATCCAGACACCAGATATCCGGATGCTTCAGTATACTGATGATTTTTCATCGGAACGGAATTTTTTAATGTTATTTTGTCTTGTTTAACTGGTGATTCAGGTATCCGGACACTTCACATATCCGGACAAATTGACTTGGAACCAAAGCGTCCAGATAAATGAGGCTCCAGAATTCACAGTATAAATCACATGAACAATTTATGCCACATGTCAAACTTCCATGTACAGTGTACAGTTAAAGTGATAAAGGTCACTTTATTTCATGGCTTAGGTGAGGTAAATCACAGTGACATTTGGTAAGCCACTCATGCATAGAATTTGTAGAGCACAATTCATTTTACCTAAAATTTGAAATGAACAAGAGGGGTTTTCTCAATAGGACTTGAATTTACAATTGGAAAACTCGGTGCATTAAGGTTTAATTTTCAAGCTAGTCATGCTAGTGGTACATGTAGTAGGAATGTACAAAATATTAAGCGTGACACATTAAGCATCACAAAACT